CCCAATGCGCCACACAATGCAGTTTTGTCATTCTCTTTTAGCATCAGATAATAACTTGGGTTTTTTTTTTGTTATTATTATTATTTTATTTATTTATTTTTTGTTGGTATTGCTATTCAAACACAGATGTAGGCCTCTACTACACAACCTGAAATCATTGTTTTCCATTTGAAAAAAACATCTCATCCGTATGAAAAGCAGAAATTTTAGTTGAAACAAATGTGGCAATAAGATTAAWATTAACAACACATCAAAACACAAATGAAAAACATTGAGCAAGGACAAAGAATTTTAGTGCTGAGTATTTCTTTTTTTATTAACTTAACCAAGTCATTTTGAATTGTTAATTCCAAACCGTAYAGMTATTCAACTAAATTGCTCAGGGGTCCACAGAWACTCAAAGTCAATGGTTCTGAGAAACACTGCATTATGTAACAGTACAAGTGTTAATATCTTTTAGCTTGTAAATATGTTTGTTTTGTTGTATTGAATCTTAAATTTAAAATGTACCATTGATTTAAAATTAATGAGGGTGGGGTACTTATTGGCACTTGAATAGCCCTGCCATACAGCAGCTCAAAGGAAAAGAGGAAAAGACGCACAAGACTGGAGTTGGAGTATTCACAGAAAAACTTAGTTTAAAAAAATGATCTTACACCAAAGTCAAACCTGAATCTCATTGACAAAGATCCCGCAATGTGTACATAGAGCATCTCGTGTTTATCTGAGGAACSCTGAGACATCCTGAGAATAAGAGAACTTTGAATATTTCTGGCTATAACCACCAAAATTGAAAATTGTTAAACATGAATGAATCTCATTGACAGTGGGTGTTGAATTGAATCCATGTAAACTCTAGCCTAAAGGTCTCAGAAAAAAAATAATGTTTTGCAAATGGACTGGTCTTAGCTGACTTGATGGTCAAAATGTCCCAAACTAGAGGTGCACCAGTTGCAGTTTTCTGGCCAGTCACCAATATTTAAAATGTCTCACCTACCGATTCCAACTTTGGCCAATTGTCAGGTGTTATATGGTCACAGAACACCTTCAATGTTCCAATCGCATTTTAAAAGACTGAACAATACCCTTGAATCAATACAAACATATTTTAAATGGACATAAGACAGTGTTCATAGACATTGGTTCTTTTACATCAGAACAAAAAAGGACAGTGATTGATTTTTACTGACCCTTGTGGAGGTAAATAAAATTGGTGGATATGATCACCCATCATGTGCTGTTCAACCCAGTATGTCCAAATCTTAGTCTTGATATTACTGTGTCTTCTATCCTGTTTATTCCCCCATCCCTTATCTCTCCTACTTTCTTTTGTATTTAAAAAAATATCTTCCTTTTTTCTCTTTTTCCCATAGATTTTTGCCATCTTTCCTTCAACTTCTGTTTAATGATGTTCWTAATTTCTGATCTACTGACATTAATTTCCATTTCAATATTAATATGTTTCRTAGTTTCCTTTGCTGTTTTGTCTGCCATTTCATTTCCATTTATCGCAATATGTGGTGGTATCCACAAAAATACTATTTCCAGACCCATTGTTCTATTCTGTATAGCAGAYGCAGACTGAACACAGGACACAGAATATAAAAGCAAACTAATTAAGGACAACAAGAAACACCTGGAGGAGACACAAGAGGAAACAGGTGAGCATGAGCAGGGCTGGAGCAGGGCAGAGATACACAGTGAAACACAGAAACACTAAACTAAGGAAAATGAACACAGATCATGACAACATCTCTGATTATGTGGGGATAACAAAAACAACTTTTAATACTTTCCCATTTTTTAGGAACTATCAAAATATATTTTGCCAAGAGGGTAAGAAGAATTCCTCAGCACCATTACTTCTTTTCCAATAAGTCTTCTACTAAACTGTCTCTGGAGGTCTGCTGCTGGAAATAAATAATACAGTCTCTGGTGTCAGGAGGATTTGGAAATAAGCTGCCAGAAGAGGAGAGGAGATTAAATAATTTACAATCACCTTTAGAGGAGATAACAGATCTGAGGATTCGAGAGTTAAACATATCACATGTCAAAGTGATAGTTTGGGTCTTTTGAAGTTGGGTTCAGATGTATAAATATAAAAGTGTTAACTGACTTGTTGTAGACAGCTGTTTGAAAAATAATATAATTTTGATAAAACTGAATTTAATTCTGGCTGGACTGATGAGCTTAAGGCTAGTCTCAGCAGGAGAAAAACCAGACAACTCAAAAACTTCATAATGATTCATGTGAGCACTATTTTAGACATTTATCTTTGCATCCATCACATGGCTGTTTATATAAGATCATGCAGTTATTTCATCTATCCGTTTTTTTGCTATTTATTTGTGGTCAAGATGTGAAGGCAACATATCCAGGAGAGAAACACAGACATCCCTCTCCCTAACACTTTCCAGCTCCTCCTGTGGGATCACCCAAAGTGTTCTCAGGTCAAAGACACATAATTCACCCAGCAAGTTCTGGTCTGCAGGGTCTCCTCACCAGAAAGATATGAACAGAAAATCTTCAAGTCTCCCAATGCAATCCATTGATGATCCTCCCATCTCCCACTCCATCCTACTTATAAATAAAAAAGACTCCTGGATACTCAAAATCATCTGCTTGAGGCAAAAACTCACCACCAACCCAGAAAAATCATTCCACCTTTTTGCTGTTTTTATGGCTTTTTTACAAGCCCAATTTTCTGCAGCAGCTAGATATAGAATTTCCCATGAAGCCTAAAGCACTTCCTGGTGAGAACAACAGATTTTTTTCTGCTGTAATGTAGTAGAAAAACTGAGAGAGCGATAAAACAATTTCTAAATCTGCATTCGATTTTGAGATGTGAGCTGTTTTAAGACAGCAGCAACACTGAACTAGTTTTGGGCTCAATCTGGTAGAACTAAACTCTGTTTCTGCAAACTGAGAGATTTCAAAAAAGCTATCTACAACAGGTAAGATAATAATTGTTTGTACCGTTTCTGCTGAACTCCACTTTGACAAGCCCAAACTATCTCATTCATTGATCTGACATGGTGATGGTGATGTGAAAGATCAGCTGCACATGTTTCAATTCACTTTCTATCACAGTTAATAACGTGACATCTACAGCCAGTCATATTACTAAATTGCCACTTGTTCACCTTTTCAGATGAGTAGGAGCTGCCATTATTGATTTTCATCACCCTTACAACCCTTCCTAGCTGCCAGGGGAGGGTGCAGATTGATGTGAACTCACAGCTCCCTGATCTAAATTCAAGAGTTAAACCCAACAGAATCACATTCAACCTACTCTGCAGCCTGTAGCCATGTTGTTATTCCTCACACACACAAACAGACCAACAACAATCACAGGACAATGTTGCCGCTCTGCAACACGGTTCACCTGTCACTTTTGCCTAACTCCTTTCTGTGCTCTGCTCAACATCATGAGATTAGCAAGCTGATGATATTRACTCCAGTTCCCATTGAAATTCCCTGCATGGCCCTAGTTAGGAAAACTGTTTACAACTGAGCAGTTGTTGCCGTTGAGCCAAGGCCGCGACAATAAAGCCATTAGGCCACGGCTTTCATTAAAAATCAGGCTGCAATAGCTGCTCATGAAGTCAAGGAGGTACAAGCATGAAGAGAGGGATCGAGGTGTGGAATAAGGAAGATGAAAACAGCTGAAGAAAAGTGCAGACATAGAAAAATAAATAACAGCACGACAAGGCAGCGAGCGCGTAATAAGATTTTCAAAGGTGTGTATTTATCTCAAACAGTTTTTCTTTTTCCTTATGTACCTCAGCTGACAGTCGTTTCCTGTTGAAACACTTACAGTCATCATTTCACACACTACTAAACAAGCATACACAGAAACRCATTGGTTACAGTGAGGAGTGGCAGCACATCAACATGAAAAAAAAACAGGTCTTTGAACACACCACTGTGGTGATGCAAAGATATGCTGAATAAATACAGAGAGCCTGCCTGAACAGACGAGATAAGGATTTGTTGAAATGAAAATGTTTAATTTCAGTGGAAGGGTTATATACAGTACTGGTGTATCAGT